ACGATTTCAGACGAGTTGGCTTTCGTGCATGCGAGTAACACAGATCCAGCTGAGCACATCAGGCAGAAGTTGTTGAATGAGAAAGACACAACCGTGATCGTGTATCCGCCTGACGAAGACGTCGATACTACCATGTATACTTATACTGTAGAGGAACGCACAAGACAGAAGACAAGACGAGAAACTATTGAAAAATATGGCGGATTCTCGAATCCAGTCGATCACTTTCCTTCTTACTACAATGAACTGAGGAAGAAACCTGGAAGAGAAAATGCTAGGATATCCGCATTTATCGACGTCGGAGCATTGTTTAAGGGCCAAAACAAGCGATTGGTGGCTTGCGGGATGTTGTACTATGCGAATTTCCATGAGAAGATGCGGAAATATATCGCATGGTGGGAAGATTTTGACTCTGAAGTAACGATGATCATGATGTACAGCGTGAACGACTTGGCCTTTAGGAATCTAGCTGCCCAACAAACTTCTAGTTCATCTACTCCAGCGACCTCTGGTGCAACTCCAGCAACTTCTACCACGACTAGTACGGGAAAGCAAGAACCTCTTCCTCCTCACCTTGTCGTGGCCCATTGTCATCAGCAGGTACGCAACGTGATGCCTAGGCAACTGGTGAATGGCAAGCATGAGTCCTTTAGAGTTGCAAGTGGCGAAGCCACATTGGATGATATCAAGGTGAAGCTCTTCACGTGGTTTGACCAGCCAAGAACGTTTGGTTCCGACGTTCCTAGAGACGACGGCAGTTTTGCACTAGTTTCTGTCGAAGACAGAACCGAAAAGGATCAACTAGCACAGGGGATGGCCAGAATGCGTGGCTTCCCGTTTGGACAGCAGCAAATTGCCTTTGTCATCGAGAAGCGAACAGCCAATTTACTGGTCAACTTCCGCCAAACTTGGTTCTTCCCACATCGCAAATTTGACAGGGTCAAATTCGAATTGGGACAAATAACAGTCAAGGATCCGCAAGGCCATGGTGGAGCTTATTCAGACTCAGATGGAGATGACGATGACCAGATGAACCAATCAGATTCAGACGTGGAAGACGACGACGACCTCTCACTCCCCATAAATCCTCCTTTCGTCGACGGTTTGCTGATGGAGGATCAAGTTGTGGGTGAAAATCAGGGTCCCGGAAAGGCAGGCAAGTGGCGCGTTTGCGTTTTAACCAGGTTTTCCGACAGAATTCGTCAAAAGTACCAAGCCCGGGTCCCCTATCTTGCATCTGACTACAAGAAATCTGCTGCCGCTGGAGGAGGTGGAGGCTTCACGGGTTACGAGCAGTACGAACCAGTTGTTATCGAAGACCCAAAATCAAAACGCACAGTCGATTGTGCTGCAGGTTTGTTTGAAATCTTCCTAGATCCAATTCAAGTTTTGCGGAATTACTCACAAGAAGAACGTCTGCACGGCGAACGACCCTTGTTGGAACGGAGCAAAACCTTCTACAGCTCAGCTCCGGTTCCAAAATTTGCTCAACCTCTGCAAAAACAGGACATTTCTGCGCATGCCTGGTGGATGCAGGAGCGAAATGAGAGGAAAGATTTCGCTGACTCTCTGGTGATGCAATGTCGTGCGACTGTGAAACGGGCTTTACGCTTTTGGCGCTCTCTCCTCCATGACAACGCGGTGGAGTCCTCTGCGAGCAGGATTGTGCCTCAAACGCAGCTACAAGCAGGTGACTGTGCATTGGTGAAACGCAGTTGGGAACCCTTTGCAGAGAAGCAAGATGAAGTTGTGGAGATTGTTGGGTGGAACAAGAAATTGGAGAGGTACGAAGTGGAGGTGGTAGATCTTGAAAAGGAAAAAGCAAGAATTCGAAGTCAAGTGGAAAGTGAAGCTTCTGCCTCTGCCAGAGAGGGTCCTACAACGCAAGAAGGTGGAGAGTCTAGCATTCATTCGAAAGCAAGAGCAAAAGCTGGGAATCTCATTTTGATGGTACTACTTCTACCTTTTTGTCGAGAAGCTTTTTGTTACTTGTAGGTACCTGTACACTTTTTGTTGCACACTTTTTGTTGCTCTCTAGACTCCTTTTGATCAGCCATTATAATCTTACATTTGTTTGTTCCCAATCTCAACAGTACCGCTACGCGTTTGATACTCCATCGAAGACTTCAGTCTGCGCGCGCAACAGCGCAGACCTCGTCTCTCGCTACGAGATCACCCAACCTGAAAATTGGGTCCGTGTGGAGCCAAAGTCTCGCTTTGCAAAAGGCGACTTGGTTCAGTTATTGGACCTAGATCACAGGAATAACAGACATCGCAATGGCGAAGTGGCTAGGATTCGTGAATATTTACCGCCGTCTACGGCAGGAGGAAGGGCTACTACAGGAGCAGGAAGAACAGTGGATGTGGATCATTTGCACAGTGAGAAAGAAGTTCGATACTCAGTTGAATTGCTGTCAGGAGGTGGAGGAAGTCGTAGCGGATCAGTTGGTAGAAGCTTTGCTTCAGTTTTCGGCTCTCACAACAAGAAGAACGAGCACATCAAAAACGCACCCCTCAGCAATCTGCGTCTGTACACAGGCGCAGAGGAACAAGGAAGTTGGTCAGTAATGTCCTCCGCTGATCACAGCAACAGTGCAGCCCGCCATCTGATTGAGTCCAAGTCTGCCACGTCTCAACGAGATGCAGACGCCGTCGCTGCCCAAATGTTTCACAATGCTGCAAGAGACTTACTTTTGACCTTAGAAGACGGCAGTATGTGGAAGCAGATGGCTAGTGTGCAAGAGCGCATCAACCCCGTTGTGATGGTCGACATTTTCGCTATGCGCATCATGCGAGAAGTCAGATGGAGATTTTCTCACATCATTCCACATCAACTACTTGATGCCCTACAATCCGCTTTGGAACTGGTCGTCCGACGCGCAAGTATCTATGCAGGGGAACACTTCTCGGCTTTACCGTCAACAATCGTCGCTACAAGTTCGATGAAGGACACGAGGGACAGCACTGACGGTGCGGAAGTACAACTGCAACTCGAAGTCGACATGGAATTGGAGTTGGAACAAGATGCTTTGCCCAATGTTGAACTTAAGGCCAGTTCGTTGTTGTACACTACTACATTTCAAATTTGGATGGCTAGTTCGTTGTACATTTCAAATTTGCAACATCAGTACTACATTTCAAATTTGCAACATCCTTGTACACTTCAAATTCTGATGTGAGGTACTCATTTACAACTGGATGACCTCACAGGTAGACATGAACAGCTACAAACGAGGTTCCATGACATGAGGACATCCTCATCCTCCCTGGCAAGATGACATCACTCGGTCCCGTTTACCAAGGGAAAACGGGAATCAGGATGCTCTCCGGGATGGATTTATGTAGCTTCTAATGAGAGCGAAATCAAGCATATGGAGAGTCAACCTATTGCGGCAACACCAGATTCAGGCTTTGGGTTACCCCCTTTGTCCGAAGATGAGATGAAGTTTGCAGTGGAAGCGCAAGAAAAGACGACACTCTTTAACACAGACTCGGACGTGGAGAAAGTCGAGTTGCAAAATGCCGGATCCAGTTGTAGCGACCCTATTGGAGATCGTTTCCTCACAGAGGTGCGTCCAACCATCGTGGCTTGGTGGAGTCTGCCAGAGAGGTTTCAGAGTGCGGAAAGAACAGCAGGCGCGGGCCAATACTCCGTACAGAACGAGGGACTTGAGGGTTTACTGCGATTACTGAAGGATGAGTTTGGGGACTACCTGAAGTGGAGCGACCCTAGAGGGGAAGGGACGCTGCAAGACGGCAAGCGAAACGTCAAGAGTATGATGGACTTGCGCGCTTTTCTAATACATTCGCCGAAGCCGGAAGCTGCGATCGCATCCGCATTCCGAAGATGGTCTACGAAGAACCATCCTGACAAATTCACTGGCAGTACTGCGGGACGCGAAGCAGCATCGAAGAAGTTCAGTGAGGTAGAAGAGAAAAAGACAAAATGGTGCAAAGAACTCGGAGAGAAAAAGGGCAGGGGAGTTCTCAAGAAGTTTGGTGGAAGTAGAGGTGGCGGCGGAGGCGATGGAACTGGAGGTGCTGGAGATGGATCAGGATCAGGATTCGCCTCCTTGACGCAGCGAAGTGCAGAGTACCTGCAAGGTCCAAGACTTCTTCAGAACCTCAAACGCCTTCAAGAGTTGCTCTACGCTTTTCGAACGGAAAAAGAACAACAGCATGGTTCTGATGTGACATCTCTGCAGCAGGATGTTGGCAAAGGGTCTTGGCGCAGAGGCTGGCACAGTTTGTTTACACAGCCGATCTATCTCAGCAAAGACGCAGCATATCCGTGGACTACAGGTAAAAAATAAGTAAGAGATCTTCTTGTTCTCCTAGGTAGTGACTCGGAGTGAGAGTGAGTCTGAGCAGCCCGTGTGAGTGTGCAAAAAATACTTTCGTCCTCTACTTATCCTCATAATCAACACGTTATTTTTTCTGAAATATTCATTAATAAATGCTCCAGATTCGCAAGTCCCAGAACGCTTCCTCGGTCCATGGGAGCTCGGTTTAAACAGCGCTTTGCTCATCCGTGAGAACGTGATAAAACCTATGAAGTTTCAGCTGGCTCTGGAAGTCGACGTGGAGATCGATTTCAAGACACCTGCAAAAGAAAAACGTACTGTCATCGATGAACACGCCTTGTTCCAGGATATCCGCAACTTCTACGCGGATTTCCGTTCCTCCTTGCTTTTAGGCGGGGACCGGGATGGCCGGCAGCTGAAAGAAGCATTGGAGGAAGCTTTCAGAAAAGCATTTTTGTATACTATGGAGACTGAAGAACATTCTAGTGGCAAAGGCAATGCTGGTGGTCCGCCCGGGGGCAATTCTAACCCTACTGCTTATCAAGGAGAACTTTCCGCTATGGATCTACAAGTGCAGTTGTCGAACACGCGCTGGGAAGACAGTGTTGAACGAAGAGCCTACGAAATTGAAGCGGTGGAAGATATCTTCCACGACAGACGAGCTGCGAACAATCAACTGGGCTTGAATTTTTCTCCGGTGATTATAGCCTTCCAGCGCAGTCGTGATATTCAGAGGTTTGAAAGCAAGGGTGTTTCGAAGCATTCACGTATTAGGGGAGGAACAGATGAAAGCGTTGGTGGACCACAAGAAAAAAGGGCCTCCTCCGCAAGTGCAAGCGCTCCTGTCCCTCCTCCTGCGACAAATCTAGCTACAACCAGCAAAAACAAGAACAAGCAGGAAGCCCAGATTCAGAAACACGACTACAAACTTCTCTGGCTAGAATTCGAGGTCTCGATCGAGGATCGAGAATACTGGCAATTGTACAAAGTGGATGACTCGGAGAAAGAACTCCTGTTCCGCTTTGCGTCGAAAATGCGAACGATTCTAGGGTTTCACGACAGCCTGTACGACATCAATGCTCCTGGCGACGCGGACAGAATGTATCCTGTAAAGAAGAACATGTTCTCCAAATTGCACGATCTGGAGAACCTTTCTCAACCAGTCTCATGGGAGCCAGACTATGAACGACAGAGCAAAATCTTCGCACAGGAAGTCCAAGATATTTTCAACAACTCACCCGAAGTTGCTGGAGGTGCTGGATGTGCATGGGCGCCTAGCATGATTTCCAATTTCTACGTGGACTATCCGCAATTCTGGTATCAGGCGGAGACGAGAAGCGGAGATGACGAAGGTCTAGGTGGTTCTCCAAAAAGTGGTGGAGAACGAAGTGATACCCAGTCTGCGAAAGCGGCAACTGCATTAAATACTGCCTCTGCGTCTACTGCAAATGCAAACGCTGCCTCTCCAACATCACCATCATCGAGACCCAGCGGACCAAAGTCTTCTCAAACCACATCTCCTGCCGAACAAGCTGATTTACAGGAGTGGAGTCGTATTTTTGAACGAAGTGAATCCAATCCTCTGAAGAGAGATGACCCACAATTCTTTTTGTCTTCAGAAGACTACTGGAAACAATGGCTTCTGGATGATCACCAAAACGCCTTAGAAGAACGAAGGAAACTGAATGAAGCAGCATCCGATAGTGCGGGGATGCAGGCTAGTGGTGGGACTGTGTCATCGCAAAAAGTCTTCTGGAGGCCAGAATATCTTGGCACTGCTGTCGTTCAAGTCGCATCTCCTGCAGTGCCATCGATTTTGGGCAGTGTGTCGTCAGCGAGTTATCTCCATTTTTTGCCACAGCAACAGGGCAACATAGGAGGACCAGGCATTGGCCATCAAGCACATCCTACGTCTTTTTTCCCACAACAGGAGCCACAAGCTTCTTCCTCTCAAGCCCAAGATGAGGAAGACACCCAAAAAGTCGATTTCATCGCCCAGCAATTTGCGAACGCTTGGAAAATCTTTTGCGTTCGCTTCCGCCGTGCACAGCATAAGCACCGCTCTTGGCTACCCCGTCGTATTCTACTGGCTGGTAACGCAGACTTCTTGCGCGTGCCACAATACCTTCAAGCCCTTCAACCCGAAAACACACTATTAAAATCTTTCCTTCAATTGACGCCGAGGGAACAGCCCAAAGCACGTGCCGTTTTGGAGGCTCTCTATGACCTACCAATGGACCTTCGAGTTGCTGGGTCTGCAGACCCACAGAAGGACAGAGTGAAAGAGCTGGACACGATTTTGCACGGTGAAACGGGAACTACAACAAGATCGGGACTTCCTGGCAGTTCTTTGAGGAACTCTCCAATTCCACTCGATGAGTCAAAACCTTGGCTCACTTGGCAACGTCTGCGACATATGGAAGCACGAGAACGATTAGTTTTCGTCACAGGCATCGAAGCCGCGAGATTCGTTGCTCAAATGGTGGCCTCTAGTACAGGTCTGGTGAAAGAATGTGAAAGACCTGAAGAAGCTTTCGGTGGTATGTTGTTGACTGCCAAGAATCGAGGCTACTTGTTTCGTGAAATCTGGGTGACGGATGTCACCGGATTACACGCCCAAGCAAGCACGGAAAGTCGCTGTTGGTATCCGGCAATGGGCAGTCGCATGGTCCCGCCACATCAATTGCCTTTGTTTGATCCCTTGTTTTCGCCGAAACATGTGGTGGAAGCAGAAACGAACTCCAACTGGGAACAACTGTCTACTTCTGCAGAGAAAAAAGCAGCAATCGGAAGGATCTTTGTTACACGATCACCTTGGTATGGGGACCTGATGGAGGAGTCGAGGAGTTTGCCTCTGCCTAAACCGAGTTCAGCGATACGGGGAAGTACGAGGACGAGTCCCATATCTTCTTCAGCACGACCTCCAGCACGGTCCTGGAAAGACATAGCAGATCCTCTAGCTCATCGTGTCTTAACAAAGCAATTAAGATCTCGCGCGAAACTATTCGCTGAAGGTTTGATTGTCACCAGGAGCATGGGAGGTTTGCAAAAAATCATGAATCGGAATAGAGCTGCCTGGACTTCGCGGACGCCAGATGGTCATCACGCTGTGGAGCAATTGCTGCGGGGTGAAAGGTTTGACATCGATCAATTTGATGTGACTGGAAGTGCTTTTACAGGATCTTCTATTGGAACCGGAACTGCTAGTGCTACAACAGGAGGAGAAGACTCAATAGCAGCAGCACAAGCACAACACAGCGAACAACCTGCAAATGCTAATCCTACAACAACATCAACATCAGCCAAGCAAGAAGATACTTCCGGCAGTCGGCTAATTTCGGAATATACAACGTTTTCCTTCGCCGGATTCTTACGTGCAGCCTTATTGCAAAAGACGACTCATCTAGCTTCGGATGCGATGAATTTTGACAAGCACTCAGCATTGAGGAAGATTCGAGAATTGACTAGTCCCCATAAAGGAGGTAGTAGAGGAAAATGCCCTGCTGTTCCTGGCACTGTCGGTCTCCCATCAGCCGGCGCTGCTAGAGGAACCTGTGCGGCAAGGCCTTCAGCTTCACTTGGGCTTGCTGTTTTGCGAAGGAGACATGCATGAGTTATGTAGTCTCACAGAGATCAAACTTGTTTGTACGGAAGATTACGACATAGGGGTGAACAAATTTTATTGCAGCTGATGTTACACATACACACGATGAACCAATGAAATAAATGAATTTGAATTTCGATTCACAGAACCAGACTTTTCATACGCACGAAGATAAGTATTCACTAAATAAAGTTGTCTTTTTCATAATCTCCCTGTTGTTCAAAAATGTTCATGTTGACAATGTACTTATGTTGAAAAATGTACAACATTCATCAATTATTATTATATATAACAATCTATCGTACAACGAACTTGGAGTGATCACTCGTCGACTACTTCTTTAGCAAATTATCAATTTGTACTCTATATGTTGTTAGTAAAACATGTAGTGAGTCCAAGAATTAGCCATAACGCACTAGAGTTTCGAAGGATCGAAAAAAAAAGCGCTCATCTACAATGCTGGCCGTGATAACTATTCCATGATCATCGAGGCAATCTACTACCATCTAAGTTCTTTCTCATTCGTAATTACACGTTAGGATTATCTGTAAGATATGTAGGAGGAACGATCAGACCCAACTTAAAGGTAAGAAAACATTTTGGGCGCACATCACCGGCATTGGTTTTCTTGCTTGTGCCCAATTAATCGTAGGCGTTGCCTCGTCAGTAGCCTTGCGCGGCAAAAGAGAGGCTCTACAATGCATGAAGCTTCTGTACGCGTCCGTCACTCATGACCCTCAGTGTCGCCCTTCTGGGGCGAATGTTTCACGGATGAAGACGGTCCCGCCGTAGATCAGCTCTTGACGGCACTGTCTAAACGTCGCGGGCGGGTCTTATCTAGCTTTTCTGCGGCGCTGGCCGTTGTGCTTCATCGTCATCTAGGAGTTTTAGGTGCCTGGCCGTTGTGCTTCAGGATTCTCGCAGGGTAGTTAAATGTTGGCATCGCGAGGAATAAGAATATAGAAGACCCAGGTCCCAAAAAAAAATGCCCGAACCGCGAACATAAACGAATGAGAAGAACTGGATCCTCGACGCAACCCTGAGATCCGGCATAGCAACGATATGCGTTGCCGTGCGTCGACCTCTTCCATCTTAAGTCCATCGCTCAATAGCTGCGTTTGCTTGGGGTTTTAGAAGGGTCAAAGACAAAGAAGACGATCTGATGAACTTTTTCCCTGCAAAAAATGACATGCTGAACATTGCTCAAATCAAACCTGTCATTTCTAAGTAGACCATCGGCTTCTTTCATCATCCTCACCTGTGCTGCCGGTGGAAGCAAATCCTTTTCAAAAATATCATCTTTACGTTGTTGACCACGTCAGCCAATCCTGACAGATTTTATCACCACCTCTTCCTCCATCTTCTTTTCCCAAAAATCTCATCCGCCAGTGAAAAGCGAGGAAAAAGAGCTTTTGATGGCTTCATTTTCACTATCCTACTCATACAATTTTTACAAACTCGTCGTGAATATTCCCAAATGAAAGTCGTGTAAAAAATTTGTCCATTGGATGAAAGGACAAGACCGCCACGTCTAAGGATACAACTACGCGCTATAGAAAAAACTGATCTGGTTGTTCTTGAGGATGTATTTCTATTTGTAACCACTGAGATTTGATAGCTAGATTTTCATTGTCGTGATTGTTTTCTTGTCCTAGACATGGAGAATGTACCTATTTCATGGTCATGCTACTGTATAATTTTGTAGTCCGAAACTCTACCTCGCTCTAGATAAAACAAGAGGTCGCGCCATCCTCTTCGGTTGATGTAAGTTAGTCTCATATAATTGTAGTTGAGGGGTATTTGTATTGTCCATTACAACTAGTTTTCTTTGTTTTTCTTGTGTATCTAATCTGGTTCGGTTTCGATAGATTTAGACCTTTTCTGTCGTTGATGTTTCATCGTGTTCATGACTATCTATCTGCTGCTCGTATCCATTTCTATTTCTATTTTCTATCTGTTTCGCTAAAAATCAATGATTGATGTCTAACTTAATATCTATGCATCAGACACTTTGTGTCGACAAAATGTTCAAGATCTATGTCCACTAACACTATATGTCTATGATGATTGAATAATGGTACCCTAAACTTATCTTCGTTAAAAACGCTAGTTTCATTCAAAAACAAGAATCAGCACGAGCAAGCATCTATTACAAAGAAAAGAAGACTACCAAGAACTACTACAAGAAGTTATACGCATGTAAAAAAACGAAACAAGAAGTTATCCAAGAAGTACAAACCTTCAGGCTACCTGAACGTCGAGGAACAACCCCTGTGGAAAATTGATCAACCGACATTCACTGCGAGCGTGTCACGAAGATTTCAGGAGTGCCGGGAGAAGTAAAAAGTCACGTAAAAAAAAAAAGCGTTGGCTTCTAGTACAACAATAAACAAAGTACTAAGATTAAGAATAGAGCAACTACCAGCAGACCACTCCTCGCTTCGTATTGCGCAAGCTTCCTGCTGGAAGTAGCCATGAAGCGACCCAAGAAGATGACGCGACCCAAGATGAAGATGAAGAAAAATCCTCCGTCCAGCGTCCCCAGCAGCGCCCCCTTGAAGATGCGGAAGATGCGGGCCGTAGACCTCCTAGCAATATGCAGCATGATCTGGCCATTAATGGTTCGAGAGGTCGTTGCAGCTATTGGACGACAGCACAGTACCAATTTTGTGGAGGAGATGAAAGATCTGACTCGTCCTGGCGAAGACTATGACTCTGTCTTCCTCGGACAGTTTGTTGGCACGTTGAGGGAAGATGGTGACACTAGTTCGGGGAGAACTTCCTCTACTAGCTCTAGTACTTTGGGGTTGCCTGGAGGCGCAGGAGCAGACGGAGGCTACAACTACAACTTGGGAGGTGGAGCAGGTGGTACAAGAACTGGAGGCTCTACTTCCAAGTCTTCGTTCCGCATTGCCAAGTGTCCACCAGCCGGCAACGGGAAACTCATCGGCAAAGACGGCAGTGTCAAATACGCTTTGCGTCACTACTTTACACCTCTAGATGTGACCGAATTCAACGAAGCTACCCTAAAATCCAAAGTGACTGAGCTCCTCCGCGACGACAAGAACGGTATTGCTCCTGTTATCGCAGCATGCAAACTGAAATACCAGAAGGAACCGGAAGCTTTGGTAAACATCCACTTTTTCTTACCGGTTTTAGAATACTTGACGCTCCTTCCTGCAGATGGTCGTGGTACAACTGGAACGTCGAGACAGAAAATGTGGAACCTGTTAGAAATCACTTCTATGCGTGTGTCTAATGCGGGTGCTGACACTCGAGAGACCTTTGAAACCAAAGTCAGACGTCTCTTTGTTCAACAAGTTGTCGGAGGTGGAGAGGCTGGCGGAGAAGATCTTTTCTTTGGAGGTGTAGAGGCAGATGGAGGAGACGAAGAGATGCCTTTATCATTAAGACTTGAAGCATTTCATATTTGTGCACTATATTTGACACATTTGAAGGAGAAGCGTGACAAATATGTAAGTGTCAGACAAATATGATTATGAAGAATTGTCTCAACCTCTAAGATCAGGAGGAGATGCGGTCAGTGCGCCTGGGGGTGTCGTGAAAAGCGAACAGCAGGATGAGGATGAATCCATGTTGCCTCCTGCTGCACAGCTAGGACGACCGATTCCTCCTCCAAAAACGCTTCTTGCTTCTCCACCCCCTCGCTTGGATTCTCGTACAGGAAAACCTCTACCACCAGCTTCACAACGCACTCTTGATGCTCTAGGTTTCACTGCGACAGAGGCGGACGAAAAGATCGTTGAATTTCTACACGAGTCTGAAGGTCGTCTAGAAAGTAGTAGTTCTGGGTCTATGAATGGTGGTGTTGATGATGTTGGTCGCGAAAAAGAAGCACTTGGAGAAGTGACATCTTTGCAAGTACAAAATGAGCTGTATTTGCAAATGACCATCTTGGCTAACCAAAATGTAGCAGATGACTTCGCGCCACGAGGAGGACCACAACGTGTGGGCGGAAGTCAGGGAGCCGCTACAGCTGCAGGTACACCTACACCAGGAATGGCCAAAGCCGGAAGCTTCACTCCTGAAAGTGCTCTTCCTCAACAAGATTTCAAATTCCTCTCAGTTTGGTCAGGAGAAGGTGCGGCCAGAGCCACGTTTGCTGATTGGACACGTCAAACAGAGACGCATGGTGATGACAATCCTGGAGCGCCAAACACGACTCGTCCTCCTACTAGTACTAGCACTAGTCGTGAAAAGTTACTCCCACCAGTTGCCTGGCGTATCATGAGAACTTACCGGCGGCAAGCAAATCCAAATCGACACTCTGGAGGTAACAACATGATGATGACTGACCCCAATCAAATTGCCATCGAGCTGTCCTACTCTGGCGTGGTCGTTGCGCATGCAATGGGCATCCGTACAAGTCAAATACGAGAGGAGTACAACGGAAAGGATGCGATTGCCTTCCAAGATTTAGGTGTTGAGTCGGACTACAAGACAGGAAATGGCGTTGGCCCAGATCAAGACGAGGAAGATGAAACCCTTCCGACTGCTTCTGCTGCCCTAGCCCTACTACGTGCTTCCGGTAAATTTCTTCGTGAAGAGGAATTGAAACGCAAACACGTTACTCGCGTCTATCCGAGAGCAGAAGCCTTGCTCTTCTGGGATCAGCTTTTTCACGAAGCTTCTGCCTGTGAACATCAAAAAATGGCTGGTCTGGGTGCACCGTATGGGAAGTTTGAGTACAACTTTCGCAAAGCCACGTTTCAACTCCAGTGTAAAAAGGACAATGACGTGATTGAAGGTGTCATCACCGAGCACTCGAAGGTCGAAAAAGACGATATTAAGGGCATCAAGACTGAGTACGAAAAACTATGGCAAACCCCTGTGCGTGTGCATGAGCTGAAGGAACAGATGCTGCAACATCAAGAAGATAGTGGTCCAGCTCCACGGAAAGACACTAGTGCTATGGCGAACGCGCTTGCCTCGTCTAGCAAAAAGAACAACGACCCCTTTGCCTTTGACGGACCTGGAGGAGGTTTTGGTGGAAGTTCCCACGACGATCGCGTAAGTAAGCACGCTTCTACCACATGCATTCCCATGCTGGTGCACGTTGGTGGAACTAGCAGCTCTGGCGGTTATTCACCCCTTTCGAAACAGGATATGGAGTCACTCGCCACGACCTTGTTTTTCTCGAAGCGCTACTGTGCGGCACAGCTAGAAGTAGCGAAAAAGATCGGAGCTGGCAACAATCTGTCTGCTCATGGTCTACCTGGTGACTACGTGGGCAACGTTTTTGAGACCGAGGACGTTGGTGCATTGGTGAAATCGTTTTTGCTACGTCAAGATCTGGCTGCATCTGAAGTGGATAAAGCTGCAACGAAGGGTGGAAGAGACTCTCCCTCTAGTGGGGCTCTTGGAGGTGATGGAACATCTTCAAACACGAACAAGTTGAGCGCCCGTTCTCGTACTGCAGAACGCGTCATGACTGCTCTTGATCGCACTCACAAACTCAAGTCCAACCTCTCCGTTCTGCGCGCACTCGCTGCTGAAACACAAGCTCTAGGCTTAACCTATGCGTCGTATCAGCCGGTTTCTGATGACGCGCAATCGAGAGCCGTATTGACTTTACTCGGACATGAACTCGAGGGACAGTCTCGTGAAGAGATTCTCGTTCTGCCGTCCGAAGTTCTACAGGACTTGTTCGAGGACCCGCAAACGCGCAAGGATAAAAGCCACGTCTTCGATGCAGATGAAATGCGCAACGGCTTCGTCGAACTAGAACAACGGCTTCTGGCCAATTGGGCCAAAAAATTTCCCACTCACGTCCACAGGACTGCAGGAAGAGGTAAGCTTCTAGCTGCACCAACCACCCTGATGTATGTCTTCGGGTCCGCTTTGGCGGAAGTGGAATCCAAGCGGAACGAAATTGCCGCTCAGGTAGAAGTCGCCCGGATGAATTTGCTACAACTCACTGAAGAAATCCTGAAAATCGACTTGTACATGGAAAGCGACGTGTTTTACAAGCACGAAGACATTCTGCGCCAAAACTGGTTGATGGTGGAAGAGGAGGAAAATACTGCAGCTCGTCGACAAGAGTACGAGAAGAAACAAAAGT